TGAACTGGGAGCCTCGTGCTCAACCGAGCTAAGGACCTCGGAGCTGAACGTGCATTCTGCAACAAAATCCGCCAAGGCTTGAGCTTTGATAGCGGTTCGTGGCTTGTACTGGAGGTCGTACTCACTGAGTTCGATGGCCCACTTCTCGTCCCCCGAGCTAAGTCTTTCTTTCTCCTGTCCTCTGGGTTGGAGGGTTCGCCTTCCCTCTTCCTCTTTTTGATCCCGCTTTCAGTCCTCTGGTTGATCTCCTCCTCTGTCCTTATGAATTTGTCCGCGAGCTTGAGGAATTCAGCTATGGTAGCGGGCTAGTTGACCACCATGTGCCACTTGAACTCCTTGTGTGTCACACCCCTCTTGGCTGCCGCGAGCTGTACTGCGGGGTCTAGGCGCGATATCTGCAAGCACGCATCATTGAATCGCTTGACATAGCCCCGAATGGACTCTCCTTCCCTCTGGACTATCCCGAGGAGGCTCTCCTCGGTTCGGGGGCACCGCTTGCTAGTAACAAAGTGCGTGGTGAAGACTTGCACAAACTGGGTCCAGCTCCTTATCGACCCGGGGGCCAGGTTCCTGTACCAGGTGCGGGCCACTCCCCTGAAGGTGGTAGTGAAGGCCACACACATGCAGGACTTGCTGGCCCTTGCCAGGTGCATTTGGGACTGGAAAGCATCGACATGGTCATTGGGGTCAAAGGACCTATCATACTTGTCTAGAGGGGGGAGTTTGAAATTTTTGGGCATGGGAACCGCGTGGAGTTTTGATGACAGGGGGGAAGGGACTGAAAGAATAGGGGCAACTTTTACCTCGTCCGAGCTTGCTTCTTGTTTACCTCGGAGCTCGGGTAGGATGCGGGTGGTAGTACGACGACTTCGCCGGCGCCTCCGCTGCTGCTTGGAAGGCCTGGTATTGGCGCTGCTTGCCTCGATGTTGCCGAGCTCAATGGGCCCGGACTATTGGTGGTAGTCCGCGGCCAGGACGCCGAATTGGTTTTCTGCGAGCGGGGGCGCGAACTTAGAGTGTCGAGGTGCTGACTTGATTGACTGGGAGGTTCCTAATTCGCCGGTGAGTTGCGAGGCAGGGGTAGTTAGTCTTTCTCTCCTGCTTGGGGACGTGGCCTGGCTTCTGGAGGGGTTTTGAGGCTGGGGAGCTTCCCCTCAGTGAAGGCGCCCGCCCTGAGGAGAGGGCTTGACTGGCTTGATAGCAGGGTGTCGAGGTGGGAGCTACGGTTGGTTCAGAGGCAGTTGGGGGAACTGCTGTTGGTAGTGATACAGAGAAATGTGGTGTAGTACTTGATGCTGATGGAGCTGATGTTGTTGGAACTGCTGCATTTGGGCTTGCATGGCCCGCATGCATTACATCAAGTCATCAAGCTGATTCTAGCTGGTCGCCAAGGGGACAACGGTCGGTTCGGCGAAGGTTGTCTCAATAGGGAGGGGAAGGGGAACATTCACAGGTGCCACCGTGCTCGGTGCATTGAGGCTAGGGATTCCGTCCGCTGAGAGGGGGACGGTGAACTGTCCGATGCAGACAGTGGCGGGTTGAGGGTGTTCCCCTACAACACTCAAGTCGGCGTTGTGCTTGTTGCTGCTGGAGGAAGCCATGGATACTAAAGGTTTCTTTGAGAGAGAGAGTTAAAGGTTAGGGGAGGCCTTTTGAAGTCTTCCCACAGACGGCGCCAAATGATGATGCGCGATCCGGTCAGTCCTAGCTGCCGGTCACCTTGCCTTTGACAAAGCCGAAGATGCCTGAAACAAGGAGGAAACTGGAGATTTCCGGGGAGGAACCCGGTAGGAACACTCCGAAGCTCAAGTTAATACTCTTGAGGAGGCAAGGAAAACAATGGATTTCAAGACCAGAAAGCACAAAAATCACATACCTCATTCTTTGGGGGAAGGCCTTTTATAACCACTCTGGTACACTCACTCCCATATCTTTGCCAGATCGGGTGTCATCACCTCTGCGGGGGCAAACATAACCGCCATTGTCTTCCCTGTCAGGGCCGTCTCTGC